GACCTGGTTATTTCAGCAGGCAGGACTGGCCTAGGGGTATTTTAAAGGGGTTTTAAATTAAATTTTTAGTAGAAGCGGCCAAATTTAAATAGTTATTTTTAATCTTTTTAAATTTTGTATTGTATCACTGTTTTAAACTGGCTGTAAGCCGCCCTGAGTCCTCCGGGAGAAGGGCGGGGTATAAATTTAATAAAATCTTTAATAAATCTAAATCTAACAATTCTAAGGCATAATTACCTTTAATATCAGGTGTGGAGTAAGCATTGGCATTTTCAATGATGTGAGCAGGCTCTCTATCTTCCTGTTGTACCATGATAAGCTGGCTCCAGTATCCCACAGGCAAAGTGAGCAACCGTTCCACAACCTACAAATTCACATTGACATTAGAAAGAATATCTTTTTCTTTCTTGATGGCACAAATCACTGCGAAGCATTTACAAACACAAACATAGGCTACATTCTCTGTCATTTGAAATACTGAATATTCCCATTCTGTTGTGCACGCTTGCGACCTACCCTATGTTGCCCTTTTGTGTCCTGGAGTAGTGTCATGGGATCAGGATCTGATACAGCATGGCCAACAATTGTAGGTCCAAACACTTTAGCCAGGTTGGAAATACCCATTCTGGTATCTGGACTTTGAGCCACTCTAGAGAAAAGAGAGACATCTAGGAGCATTTGGGCAAAGAGGAGCAATAAATGTTTGCCTTATGAACTATTCCTTTCATTGTCACCCCAATCCCACAAGATGGACAGAATTATAGTATAAGAATCTTTATCACCTCTTCATAACACAACTGAACTTACCTGTGCAGGTGTATCATGAGGAAAGCCAGAGTTTCCCTATTAGCCTGCGGTAGCTCTCCAACAGTTTGATACATGGCTGCTACACTCTTGTCCTCATCTATAATTTCTTTAAGTGGAAACATAAAAAAGATATTTCTATGGCCTCTTCCAACTTATTACAATAGAGAAAATAATGAATTTTCTGTGGGCACCTTAATTATAACGGCTTAGGTTTTTAAGATTTTGGACTCGTTTAGGGAGAGGGAATTAATTTAAAATGGCAACATATTAGGCCTTTCCCAACATATAGGTAATTTCATATATCACACTAAGCCAGTTGTTTGCTTAATTATTATTTACTGACTAAACTTGCAAACGGCTGGATTCAAACAAACATTAAATCAATCCCAAAGAAATCACTCTGTGATGTGTGATGCATAGCTCAAGTCTTAGTAAAACATTTAAAAGGAGAGGGAGGAGAAAGAGAAACAGGAAACTGTTAAACAAGAATGATATAATTCTTCAAATCTGGGGCAAGAAAAAAGTTCTTGATCAAAAAGTCTTCATGGGAGACACAATGTCCCTCTCTAATCTGTGTTTGCAAACTGTTTTAGGGAGTTAATGAAGACTAGACCAGTCTGTGGATTAGTTTGGAAGATTACACAGCATTTTACCTCCAAGGTGTTCTCTGAGCCAAATAGTTTTTATATTTATCTTTCATTAACATATTAACCTCTATCGCTCTCTATGAAAAGAAACAGTGCAGAAATAAAGAATTGAGCTACTGAAAAATAAGTATTATTGTGAGTAATAAAAAACCATCAATAAGACTTCTAATGCATAATTGTATTCTTTTAGTCTTAAGCGCTGTCTTGCATTAACAAAAACCAAAAACTGATCTTCAAGCAGACAGCGTGGAAAATAAAAAATAGAATGAAGTCAATATATATTAATTTAAAGGAAGTTGTATCAGGCCATTTTATGTCAGTTCAGTAAGGACTAAATTACAATAGCTAACATTTTTGGGGGAAAATTATATATCTATATAATAGGTATATTATATTATAAATCTACTGTAACATTTTTCATGTAGACAACCTATTTCTGTTATTAACCCTCTAGCTAATTCCAAGAGTTGTGTTACATAGTTTTAAATATTAAGTGGAGTCTATTATTTTCTAAATAAAAAATATTATTTTTGAAAAGAGAGTCAGTTTGGTCTAGTAGTTAAGGCATCAGATTAGAAAGCGGTAGACCATGAGTTCAAATCCTGCCTTAGCCATAAAGGTCAGCTGGGTGACTTTGAGCCAGTCACTCTTTGTCAGTCCAATCCACCTCATATAGGGTTGTTGTTGTGGGGAAAAGAGGGGGTGTTGGATATGCTTCCTGCCTTGAGCTATTTGTAAAAAAGATAAATGCAGGATACAAATACATATTTTTAAATATCATGGGCAAATATATATTAAAAGGATAAGAATCAGCATTTTAGCATGCCTAGTGGAGAAAAGTTTTGCACTCAACATTTATACTCAAATATGTTACATTACTCGTACCTGCTGCTTCCATAAAGTCTTTATTGAGACGGAAAGTAAGAAGAGGCTCCTTGAGATTGCGGAGAAAATCTTTAAGAAGTCCACATATAGCATGGATATCTTCCACTGCGCTAAGTAAAGGTACTGTTTTCCCTCTAAGGAATTTCTCCTTCAAATCTTTCACTTTGCGGTCCCAGCCAGAAAGTCGGTAGAGGCCTGTCTGTTGAAACAATGATTTTAAAAGCAAGATCCCCAACTTGTTTCTCTGAAATCCCTCCGGCTTTAATGTAATATGTGCTAACATTTGACTTCCATAATCACCATCCCAGCAACTCTGAAAGTAGCTACATCTTGGTGGATATAATAATAATAATAATAATAATAATAATAATAATAATAATAATAATAATAATAATAATAATGATGATGATGATGATGATGATGATGATGATGATGATGATGATGATGATGATGATAATAAAGTTGGAAGGGACCTTGGAGGTCATCTAGCCCAACTCCCTGCTCAGGCAGGAAACCCTATACCATTTCAGACAAATGGCTGTCCAGTCTCTTCTTAAAAACTTCCAGTGTTGGCACATTCACCGCTTCTGGAGGCAGGTTGTTCCACTGGTTCATTGTTCTAACTGTCAGGAAGTTTGTTCTAGGTTGCTTCTCTCCTTGGTTAGTTTTCACCCGTTGCTCCTTGTCCTGCCTTCAGGCGCTTTGGAGAATAGCTTGACTCCCTCTTCTTTGTGGCAGCCCCTGAGATATTGGAACACCGCTATCATATCCCCCCTCGTCCTTCTCTTCGTTAAACTAGACATACCCAATTCCAGCAGCCGTTCCTTATATGTTTTAGCCTCCAGTCCCCTAATCTTTGTTGCTCTTCTCTGTACTCTTTCTAGAGTCTCAACATCTTTTTTTACACCGTGGTGACCAAAACTGGATGCAGTATTCCAAGTGTGGCCTTACCAAGGCATTGTAAAGTGGTATTAACACTTCACGTGATCTTGATTCTATCCCTCTGTTAATGCAGCCCAACACTGTGTTGGCTTTTTTGGCAGCTGCAGCACACTGCTGGCTCATATCCAAGTGATTGTCCACTAGGACTCCGAGGTCCCTCTCACAGTTACTACTATTGAGCAAGGTACCCCCTATACTATACCTGTACATTTGGTTTTTCTTGCCTAAATGTAGAACAGGGGTGTCAAACTGCCGGCCCACGGGCCGGATGCATCATCCGGAAGCTACACCCACCCCATTGCCGGCAATGGCAAAACTGTCCTGATAAGTCTTGCGACATCACGTGACGTCGCAAGTTTGACATGTCTGATATAGAAGGTCTTAGCAGAAAGCATATGCATTTTCTGCATTCCAAAAGATTCCATTAGATTTACACCTTTTAAGTTTACCTCATTCAAGCCTCGTCTCTCAATCTCATTTACACAGTGAACTAAAATGGGGGGGATCATTGGAGTCGTCAGAGGTACAAAATCCCCCAGAAATCCCTAAAAAAAAACAGAGAAAGGAACAAATATGGGAAATGGGAAATAACAAGAGTTATTCTTGTTATTTTTATTTTCACTAAAGAGAAAACAAAAGCACAATTTTTAATACCTAATTTGACAGTAAAACTAGTAAAAATCACTTAAGAAATATATCATATAGGTGCATACCAAGAAAACAAGAGACAAAGAACCCATTTGAACTCGTGTGACTAAGTGCAAGATTCTAAAGCTTTGACATTAAGATTCTACCCATAAACTAAACTAATGTACCATAGCGCTAATACGAAAAGACAAAACATGGCATGAAATGTTCAGTAACTCAGTACAGGAGATACAAGAATGCTTAAAAATTCAACATATTTCTGAGCATTGTAAAAGGGTATATATATTAATAGCACAACAATAACAATAACAATAACAATAATATGTTACGTACTACTTCTTCCCTGCTTAGATTGTATGATTGGAACATAATAGGCTTGTGAAAAATCTTAGACATGAGCAATAAATACTAAGATATAAGTAAACAGTTCCTTTCCAAAATATCAGGCGCTGACAGTTTTTTCTTCTTCTATTCTCCTCTCATTTTGTATTTCTAGATAACAATGTGATTTAAAAACAGATAGCAAGAAAGCTTTACACATATGCACTGCATTTATATTAACTCTCTAGTGTACACTTTTCTTCCTATCAGCATCTAGAATCTAAAGAGCTTCTTTACATTCGAGTATAACAAGAGTTGCTGGCTGTATCAACAGTAGCTTTATTTACCAGAAAATAACTTGAAACGTTGCTGCTGCTTATGTCAAAAACATTTTCACAGAGAACTAACACTCTTTCACCTATTTAAACCTTCAATATTATATATATATATTGAAGTCCAATATACATTCATTGGCCACTAAGGTATTTTATTTAGAAGCATACCTCTCCAATTTTGACAGGGGTTCCTGCTACGGTAGGGGTGCAGGGCAGGGGGCAGCGATCTCGACATTCTGGATGTGCAACTATCCGACAATCTCTGCACTTCAGGGACATTTTTCCAAACTTTATCCGCTTCCCACATGGAACACATGACTCAGGTTTAATAACCTAGAGAGAGAATAAACTAACTTGATCTAGAATAAGCAATAAATAGGCACAGACAAGTACATACAACTAACCACTAAGACACGAGTCCCCAACCTGTGGACTGCAGCCCACTACTGGGCCACGGCCTATTTGCAACCAGATTGTGAGTGGTGGGCAGGCGCTTGCTTGCAGCCCCACTCGTGTGAGCGTCAGGTGCTGGCACTCGCAGCCTCACTTGTATGAGCAGTGGGCACCCATGCCTGCCGCTCATACAAATGAAGCTGGGTGCCTGCGCATGTGCGCACCTACCCCTTACACAAAACCATCCCCTCTTCCCAACTGGGGCACCTGCCACTCATGCAAGTGGGGCTGCGAGCACCCGCTGCTTCCCTCTCCCCTGTGCCAGGCCACCAAGCCAGACAGGTTGGGAACGCTGCACTAAGATATATTAATGTGATGACATTAATGTAAACATGTTTATTTTATTTAACTTATATATCTGTACCAGTTGAACTGCCCAGCGGGAGGAAGGTATCTGGATCTCTACAAAGGTCATGTATGTTTCTTTTTTAGGAAAGACAAATGCCCTCATGAGACTAAGAACAAGTAGGCAAAAAAGAGGAAAATGAAGAATGCACCTGTAAAGTGGAACATACATGCCTAAGATATAAAGCATTTTAAAGAGAGAAAGGGGTGGGGTTACATTTCAAATGCTGCAAGACCCACTGCTGGAGAGCACATCAACTGGTTGATGGAGAGCTGAGCAGAAGAATGATCTAGCCTGCCATGTCTACAGATGCCAATTCTAGGACAGGGAGAAAAACCAGAAGAAAAAGCCTGTAGCAGTTTGTGAGAGTGTAGAAAGACCAGGAAGGTGGCCTATGTTGTGTATAATGAGATTCAGATGCTGGATATAGAAATTTGTGAGTTAAAGGCAACCAGGAGAAAAGTGATAGATATTCCAATGTCAGTAACTGATATAAGAACTTATAATAAATCACAAGCAGAAAGTAAGTGAAACATAAGAGTGAGAAAAATTAAGTTAAGATTTGATTTCCTATAATTTTTGTTCTATTCTTTACATACATAGCAAAACATATTGGTTTTGTAAATAATTTTACTTGTGTATATGATTAGATCATGCTGCTTCTTTAATGTGGATATCATAGTATCCAAAATATAATCCCTAATTTGTTTAATTACTGGCTGTGTGTGTGTGTTTTTGTGTTTGTGTATATGAGTTCATCCTGACCCACCCTCTGAAACACAAATTTAATCATAACTAATTTTGAACTATTAAAATCCCAGCTATGAGTAACAAAAGCAAATTATAGCAACCACAGTACTACTCTTTTAATCAGCTTCTTATTCAGCAAGATTGCTATATTACATTACCTAGGCATTTATGGTAGTTGGCAGCTAGGAATAGTACACTCTATGACAGGATCATTATTTAAATCCTATGCAAAATTTAAAACTGATTGTTTTTCCTTAACTATATTTTTATATGTAACTTGATTAACAAATGGCTTCAAATGAAAATGGAGCATGAATTTGCAGCTGCACGGTTAAACGTTTGCAAAGTGGTTTCCTTCCAACCTTTGTTTGACTTCTTGCAAAATATATATATATATGTACAAATGTCTCCCTTAACACAGCTTCCTGGACAAGCCTTTACAAACAAAAATAAAGTTTTACATCACATTGGATATCTTATGAAATCATTAAACAAATTTGCGCTGTGTCAGGAAGAATATCTATTACAGCAACTGTCATGTTTCATTTTCTTTTTTCAGAACATTTAGAACATAACCTCAGCTGACAATCAGAGAATGAGTATGACTGACTACAAAAAGTCAGCTGACTAGGATCTTAGACCCAAAATAATTTGAGCTTTGAATTGAGCCCAGAACTGACAGGCCTCTTCACTCACCATTTTTGATACAAATTCGTGTAGTCTCGTCCCAATGCTTCCAGGTGTGCTAGATCCATCTGTTTCAGATTTCTTTTCAACGTTCCTGCTTCCCAAGCTTGAGTCACTGTTCCAAGGCTGTAGAATAGCTTGGGTGGAAAAGAGACAGTTTGAAAAAATCAGTTTTTGATACAGGATTAAACTGACAGCAGGTACTCCCAATTTTAACTAATACATCTACTCTAACCTGGGTTGTTAAGCTGATAAAGCTGTTGCTCTCTTTTCTCAATTCTACTACAATAGGTAATACTTCACTTTTGAGGGGGGGGAGAAAGCAAATGGTTACTTTTAGATCCTTTCCTCAGCACAAGAGCTCAGGCTTGAAGGATATTTTAAACCTTCTTAAAGAACTGATGCGTGGGATTTATTTAACAGAATAAATACATTTTTCAGCGGCAGGTTTGTTCTTTTCCTGTTATATAAAATCCAATGAAGGAAAAGATTGAAAATTAAAAGTATGTAGTGTTACACGTGGAGCGAACATATGGTCCTACATGATTCATAACAAATTTCAACTGTAATTCAAACGGACACTGACAGAAGCGCCTTACTTTCATTTCTACCAGCATCTGTATTATTACTGGCAAATACAGAGGAAAAACTGTGACAAAGAGGAAATCACAATAGTCTAAATTTCATACAGACATATTTACCTGCCTTTCTGTGGTTTCCAACATAATAAGGTATAGTCTCAATAGTGGCAACTGCTTCAATTGGGCCTCCATCATTAGGAACTGTGAGAGTTGTTTTTGCAACTATTGATTCATTTCCCTGAAGTAAAATAGTTGCAAGAAGCATGTAAGAAATTTAAGCAAGAAGCTCTCTCTCTCTTTCAGAATATTTAAGATCTGTATGTTTTAATAGTGCAACCTGGATACCTACTTAGCATTCTAAGCAGCAAAACCTAAAATCCTGGTTTCAAATGAGAAAAATAAGTTCCACATGATACCAATAAACTCTCCAACAGATTCCCTACAGTTGTATACTCCAGATACACTGAGACTACAGCTCCCAAAATTCCCAGTCATCATAATCAAAGCCTGAAAGCCCGTCTAGGAATAGCTATCATCACATCAGGAAGCGTACCTTAGAGAACACTATAACTTTGGCCTAAAGAGCAGTTTGGTGTAGTGGTTAAAGCGTTAGGCTAGAATCTGGGAGACTGTGAGTTCTAGTTTCACCTTAGGCACAAAGCCTAATGGGTGACCTTTGGCCAGTCACTTTTTCACAGTCCTAGGAAGGAAGGAAGTATAACTCAATTGTGAAAAACCCTGCCAAGAAAACTGCAGGGACTTGTCCAGGCTGTCTCCAAGAATTGGGCACAATAAAACAAAAGCACACACACAGACACAAATAGTGTCCTTCTACTGTATTGACAACATGAGCTTGTTGATTTGATGAGCCTGCAGTGAGTAAAAAAGCTATGAAGCAATGAATATTAATGAACACCCCCTCTATACATCAATATGTGTATTTAAAAGATCAGAGCCTAATTCTGGAAGGAATCTAATAGTCTTCATAAAAGCACATACCTGATCTACTGTAGAGCCAATGGAACGAGTTTTCTTTAAAGGACCAGGTGGGCCTTCAATAAACTGTCTAGAAGAGCGCTGTCAAGGAAACATTTGCAATTCTTTGAGTGAAAGCGTGACAGCATACTTGAGTAAAGTGAAAATTCTAGAGCAATATTAAACTCTATATTTATAAAGATTCTAAGCAAAATATGAAGTCATTAATATATCTAAATTATCATTTCCTACTCGGAACATGCAGAAACAATACTTAGTAACCAGTACAGATGAAAGTAAAGATAAGTAAATGGGAAAGTGATAGATTATCTCAGGAGCATATTAAATATAATTCCAAAGTTCAATTGTATATTAACCAAAAGCAAAACTGTGATGGCAATTTCCATATTATCAACATCCAACATGGAGGTTTTTAAAGAAGAAATTGGACAACATTTGTCTGAAATGGTATAGGGTTTCCTGTTTGAGCTGGGGGTTGGAGTAAACCTCCAAGGTCCCTTCTAACTCTTTTATTCTGTTACATCACACTTTCTTAAATATATTTGCCAGAATTGTCCTACTTATTGCATAAGCAATAAGTATGGAAATTAAATGGTTCTCTACATAAAGCCTGGCTGTTAGGGTAGTCTGTGAGCATAAAAAAAGTTTCAGACTTAGAAATATAAATCTAATGAAAATATAACAATTATGTACATTAAAATATGATTTAAATGTACCCAAGCTCAAAACTTTTGCATTGTAGGCATACCCTCAATCACTAATGTAAATATAATAAATGAAACCTGCTCTTTGCATCAAATACAAACAATTTTTTTTTTAAAAAAAACATACATACCCTTTTCTCTCTTTTTTTCAACCTAACAGTCTTTACCATTGTGGAATCCCAATCCTAGATATTAGAAAAAGAATCTCTTTAGTATAAGACAGATGGCAAACATGCATTTTTACTCGGCCCATTCCTTTATGCCTAACTCTGAATATTCACCCATAATAAGAGACATCTTACAAAGGGTCATTTAAAAAAAAAAATTGTGAATTCAGATAACGATTACATTACCAATGATTCGTCGGTTTTGTCAAAACTGATGTCGGACAGAATTGAACCAGATTCATCTATTGTTGACAACCTAAAATAAAAATCACATAAAGTTTAAAATCTCACCTTATCATAGATAGTAATCTAGTACATGATAAGCAAGCAGAGTTTGAAAAGAATGTTATAACATATTCAGAATTCTTTATGTTCTATCATGAAAAACATGGATTTGGTATCTTGATGTAAAACTTTTACTATAGTAATATTAAAAAAAGACCTACATTCATTTTTAAAGCTCCTTAACAGCTCAGGTTAAACATTATACTTCAGTGATTTCAATAGGACAACACTGAATATGTCTTTTATGCCACTGCCTAACAATGGGAGTCAAATTTTCTTCAGAATAAAACATTTACTATGTTTACCTTATTCCAGTGATGGGGAACCTTTTAGAGACCGAGTGCCCAAACTGCAACCCAAAACCCACTTATGCATCGTCGGGTGCCGGGTGGGTGTGGCCCATTGGCTGGGTGTGGCCCATTGGGTGGGCGTGGCTGCGGTGGTAATGCCAGACTGGGTGGCACTAAAAAGTTCAATCAATCAATTCCAACTATGCAAGATCTTTTTTTTTCCCCATGAGAAGTTGAAATTGACTGATTGATTGAACCTTTTTTTTTTTTGATACACGGCGGCGGAGGCCTAAAGCGAAAAGGTTTTATAAAACCCAGCTGAAGGCCTAGGACTGGGGCAACGGCACACGTGCCCACAGAGAGGACTCTGAGTGCCGCCTCTGGCACCTGTGCCATAGGTTCGCCACCACTGCCCTATTCTATGTACCCTCTAATCCCCTAAATTTGTCTTAATGCCACGAAAAGCCTCTTGGAGAAAAACTATTTAAAACCCCCATATATTCATATATTTATAGAATCTGGGTATATTTTGTGTAGCTGATGAGTAAACATACCCAGAGTTATGCAGTAATAGATTCATCCTACCTGTATATGAATCTACATATTTCATGAGATACAAGTTAGAATTCTGAAAATCCTATTTTCCAGGAAACAAGATAAAGAATGTAGTACAATGCTTTTGGAATTCTTTCCAATCCCTTAAAAATAGTTCTGATGCGAGTTACATGAACAGGAAGGAAGCAGGTGGCTAATAATGGGACAGTCAGCAACTATCTGAGCTACTGCCGACTGTTTGTTCCATAGCAAGTGGATATTTTTCTCTGCAGCCCCTGCCTAGATCCAGGCCATTTTCCCAACTCAAAACGTTTTTTAGTTTTGCCAACCAATTTGGTTTCATTCTATTAAATTCTCATAAGCTTACCAGATTGATAAAAGAGAGCATCTTGGATTAAATTCAAGAAATAAAACTGGAGTTTTGTGATTGGCTGAAACCTGCCAATTATTGCTATTAGTAAGTTCTTTCCCTCTTTCATGTAGCTATATATTCCATGACTTTTTTCTGAATCTTATCACAATTTAACAGTAAAAACATGAAGTTTAACAAGGCCACTTGCAACCCATGTACTTCCATATTTGAAAATTTTAAATAACAAAATGCACAAAAATGTGTTAGGACTGCATCTTGCTATTTTAACTACCTTCTATTAATATACCGTATTTATCGGCGTATAACACGCACAGGCGTATAACACGCACCTTCATTTTAAGAGGGAAATTTCAAGAAAAAAAAAGCGCCGGCTCGGGAGCGAAAGCAAAAGGGGAGGGGGAGTGGGGCTTCGTTCACACGCGGATCCCCATGCTCGTATTTATTTACCGTATTATGCCC